CTCTCTCTCTCTCTCTCTCTCTCTCTCTCTCTCTCTCTCTCTCTCTCTCTCTCTCTCTCTCTCTCTCTCTCTCTCTCTCTCTCTCCGCGTGTGTGAATGGACTCAGTTGTCAAATCCTATCTGCTATGGTGTCTCTCTCCTCCCTCGCTAGTCACCTTGTGCCAGGTTACTCTGCCAGTATGCCCTACCAGTCCCCCGAACGGTCGCACAATCAAGCAGCGCTTCCACAACATGCCAATGAACAAGTGAGTCCCCCCAGGTCCTTTGGTTGCTTTTATTGCAGCTGCAATTGACATCTTTCTCGCCTCTAGACCGGTAACAGTCTCCCAGGGCCTGTCGGCCGCACTTGCCGGTTCTGGAATTCCTTGGATGCTGCTGCTTAATTTAGACTGGGACTTGTGCTTTTTTTTTACGGTACTTAATCTACCGGCTCCTAACGACCTAAGACATCCGGCAACCTGGGCCTGAATCGGCGTTTCGGCCGCTGGGCCTGCCGGTTCGGCTGTAGTACATGGGACTGGGACCAGGACATGGGACTTGGATGGGACCTCAAACTTTGAAGGTAGGGACTCTCAAGCAGTTGCTGTGGCCTCAGGCCTGTACATTTTTTGGGATCTTAAGTGATTTCCATGCTGTGCATCGTTTTGCCTTTGCCTGTTTGTGAGCAGGGATGGAATGGCGTCACTCTTGTGTTGTTGCAGGAGCGACCGCAGCATCTGCAGCTGTTGGCAAGGGAGTTGCTTCAGTGTCCTCGGTTTGTATGGAGAAGGTACCAATCATGGCATGCCAGGCAGTCCTTCCTCTCATCCCTCCTTGTCAGAAAGCCTCCCCTTGTCTTGAGATTCTGCACATCACTTCTTTTTTTGCAATTTTTTTCCGTGGATGTGCATGATATGGAGCACCATTGTGTGCACTGTGAACCGCATGTGGACACTTCACAGGCATGCATGCTGGTGTGAAACCATGCAGTTGACTGTGCACTTTCCAAAGTGGGATGCATATGTAAATACTTTGGAAAGCAGGATGCATACTTACTAGAAAGCATTACCAGCATCGATCAATCCAGGAAGGCGATCAGAATTGAAAGCAGACGCAAAGTAAATGTTGAGTCAGGCTCGCACTTTCTTTCTGTCTCATTTACCAAACAAGCGAGTTGCCCTGCATGAACTCGCTGAGGATCTGAAACAGCAGATGTGTTACGATCCTGGGCAATTTCAAAGTGCAAAACCACGAGAAAGCACAATGCCGATCAATTGCAAAAAGAAATGAATGAACCTGAGAGAGAGAGGGAAAGAAGAAGAAGAAGATGTACACCAGCAGAGACCAATGATAATTCCCCTCTCACCAACCAATCTCCTTCTTTTCTCCTCCCTCTTTATTCAAATAATTATTAATAATAATAAGGATGAATGGCCGAACCAGAATCAATGTCCGAATCCCTCTCCTACTGCAGGCACAGCATGAGGTCCACCATTGAAACGGTATTCACCAATTCGTGGTAGCTGAGGTAGATCCCAGGGCTCGATCCCTAGTTTCCCAACTTACCTGTGTACAATACCNTACCTGAGAATTACCTGCGTGGCCATTGCTCCAGCTTCGTCTTCAGCACGTCCGCACCTGCATCAAGGCACCACCTTTCGAAGGTCAGTACCTGGTATTCAGCCTCCTGATGAGTCGGTGAAACTCCGACGAAACAGTTTGTCACAGCCCCTCGTTTGTTGTCCTCTTCTCTCTCTCTGCCTACGGTTTACCGGGCAGTTCTGTTTGTGACACATATATATATATATATATATATATATATATATATAGAGAGAGAGAGAGAGAGAGAGAGAGAGAGAGAGAGATTGACGACACTTGGGATTCAGACTCGACATTTGGACAGAGACGTTGGGGGGACTACCTGGGATCGATATCAGCGACATTTAGGTTGCCGACATCCTCATCTTTTCCCCCTTCTCCTTCGTCTCTTCCCCCTCCTCCTTATCTGTGTATGAGTTAGGCCTGGCCCCTTCGTCCTGTGTGCGGCGCCAGGCCATTCACACCGTGTGATGATGATGATGATGATGTATGTCCAGCCTGCATTTCGACATTGGTTGGGTCTGACCGTTTGTATTATAGCCTTCCGCTGTGCTATCCTGCTCTATCTGTGAGAGGTCGGTTCTTGGTTCTGGTCTGTACCATCTTGGTATGCGACAAATTGCGAACACGTCCTCATGGATAATTATGGTTTTACTGCTATCCTCTGTATTGTACCCAGTACTGTTACTCCTGAACTGATGTATAGTATCATCCTGTCCCATGTTCTGGGTCTGAACTTCATCTCTGGCTGTTGATGTTCTTTCAACAGAAATTGAAGACCATGTTGATACATGGGAAATTTATCCCATGTCCGGTGATGGCATTCCCCGTTCTATATCTTATCCTCTGCTTCTTCCTTGAAATAGCTCTTACTTCCTCTTCCTCTGGTCCTCCTGTGTTTTTCGCCTCCTTTTCATTCTTCTTCCCTCCTTGTCCCCTGCCCTTTTCTCAGCCGGATGTCTCGGTCGGCTTCTCCCCCATTCTTCGTTTCCGCTTTCCTCTCCTCTCCTATGTTTGCTCTCCTTTGACACTTTACCACCCTCTTGTGAATTTTCCACTTATTCCTCGCCCTTTTGCCTTTGATATCACCATCACAGCTTTGTGTATATTGTTGCTTATGCTTCGTTTTCTACTCAGCTTCCCCCGACTTCTCTTCTGATTGCATGGTAGTAGAAGATAAGCTCTATGCAGACACAACCAATGTGTGTTAAACACTAGGGAATAAAATGAAGCAGCAATAGATGGAGGGGAGAGAGAGAGAGAGAGAGAGAGAGAGAGAGAGAGAGAGAGAGAGAGAGAGAGAGAGAGAGAGAGAGAGAGAGAGAGAGAGAGAGAAGTCGTCAAGAACCCCGAGCGCAGTGCCAAACACTCCGTCATCTCACTGGCATGTCCTGCTGGTTTCCTTTTGTGTGCTGGGGACTGAAGATCGGCGTGCCACGGACTCCATCGTCTCACTGTCATGTTCCGCTGGTTCCTTATCAGGATGTTTCTCCTAGTTGTTTGGTCCTCCCAACCCCTTTCATTTTTTCCCAACGACTTGCAATCTCATGGCCAGGTCATCTCCCTGCTACCTGCCATCCTCCTCTTCTCTTCTATCTCTGGCTATAGTGTTCCTTAGCTGACGCCCCCTCTGGGACCAGCAAAAACCACGGGCACGTGAAAGGTCCAGGGGGGAGCGGTGTCTTGTGGGAACTGCAGCATGGAATTTTTCTGGAGCCGGGCTGTTTGGACCCCATGCCACTGCCCGCAAATTGTGAATGAATGTTCGCGTGGTTCCTGGAAAGACACAGTCGGAGTATGGCGCGATTGGTGTTTTTTTCTTTGTAGCATCGTTTCGTTTTTTGGCGATTGTCCTTTCGTTTCTTGTCGTTTTGCAGCTGCTGCTGCAGGCTGGTTTCCTTTCGCCGTGGTTTCTGATGTGGTCGCTTTTGTGAGGGCTGGTGGCGCATCGTGGGCCAAAGCGGAGAAATGCTAGAGTACAAGTACATAGCAGGACCCCGACCATGGGGCTCACTCCACTACTCACAGAATGTGCACCGAATGTGCACCGAATGTGCAAAATGAGAATGAATCTTCCACTAGAACATGGAAAGATATACGACCATGTTTTCTCACTTTTGTGAACGAATCCTCAACTATAACATGAAAAGATTCACCTCCATATTTTTTGTCTTCTGTGAATGAATCTTCAACTAGAACATGGAAAGATACACCGCCATATTTTTTGTCTTCTGTGCTTCCTTTTCCCATGGTTTTCGATAAGGTCGCTTTTGTGCGACCTGGCGGCGCATCAGGGGCTGAAGCAGAGAACTGCTCACAGAATTGGCGGGCCGATGGTGCATCATGGGCTGATGTGCAGCATGGGTGGCGCATAATGGGCTGCAGCACATACCAGGACCCATCTATGGGCCTCACTCCACTACTCACAGACTGAGCGAAATGAGAATGACTCTTTAGCTACAGCATGGAAAGATACACCGCCATATTTTTTGTCGTTTGTGCATGTGGTGAGTAGTGAAGCAAGGCCCTATATCTCTATGTATCTGTGTCGTCCTTGCACACGCGCCATGCTAATCTTGTCCGTGTCGCTCCAATTTTAACGCTGAGCATGCCATGGGACCGCCCGGCTGGCCTCGCGTTCGCCCGCCCGTGGTTTCTCCTGGGTCTGAGGGGAGTGTCCTGCGAGGACCGCTGTAAGTTTCAAGAGTAAGATTTATACAACATTGTTGCAAGTATCCGAACTCTAAGCTACATGCGCCTATGGCCACCACAAGCGCACACCCAGGTATGTACCTGTCTCTTATACACATCTAGATGTGTATAAGAGACAGGTCCTGTGTGTGGCGCCAGGCCATTCACACCGTGTGATGATGATGATGTCCAGTCTGCATTTCGACATTTGTTGGGTCTGATCATTTGTATTCTAGCCTTCCGCTGTGCTATCCTGCTCTAACTGTGAGAGTTCGGTTCTTGGTTCTGGTCTGTACCATCTTGGTATGCGACAGTTTGGTATCGGAGCAGACCTCTCGAAAGAGGATCTGCCCAATCAAGAAACCAACTTGATTGATTGATTGATTGACTGATCGATTGATCAATGAAGTACGGATTCGTGAAGTTTCTGCATTTTTTTTTATGTTTTATTAAAGTTGTCACCTTGATTAGCGGTAATTACCACTAACCCCGGATTCGTGCTAATCTTGAATTAGCACTAATCCGCGATTAGTGTTCTAACCCCAATCAAGATTAACAACTAATTAACGGATTAAACTTTTGCAAATCATTTTTCTTTAGTTTTCTTCTTTCTGTTGCAACGAATTCCTAAAGTCGCACTTTTGGCAATCCGCGAATTTCGGAAATCCAGCAATTTCGGTATTCCGCGAATTCCGTGAATTCCGTGCATTGTGGAATCCCGAAAATCTCGGCACTCCGCGAAATCCGTGAAATCCGGAAATCCGAAAATTTCGAAAATTTCAGTCTTCCGTGAAATCCGTGAATTCCGCGAATTTTGGAAATTCCGAAAAGCTCGGCACTCCGCTATTCCACGGAAATACGAAAGTAGCAAGTTAGGGTTAGGACATTTTTTCGGTTTGGAGAAATCGGATCTGAATTAGGATTTTCATTGTCGCAAAGTCCTTGGTAAGTCCGCAACTTTACGATTTCCCTAATCTGACCTACTGCATTTCTCGAAATTCAAAATCCTGTGCCCAATTAGTTCCGGCATTAGGTTATTTCAGATTTCATTTTTCAAAATTCGTGATTTTTCATTATTTTCACGAATCTAAAATTTTGCGATTGCTGTTCCTAATTCTGTTAACCTTTCACTGCTCGTTATTTGATAGATGCCTCCGTAATTCTCAAATCGATAGATTTCAAAAAAAAAAAAAAGAAAAAAAAAAGAAGAGATCTTTTTCTTTTTCGTTTTTTTTTCTGTTGATTAGTACCTGGGGTTGGAAATTGCAGTCCGGCGTTTGTCTGTCTGCGTGTTTCTTCCCACCCCTCTTTGTACTACAGCAAGTGCCACGTCAGCAAGTCCCACGTCAGCCAAGTGCCACGTCAGCAAGTGCCACGTCAGCAAGTGCCATGTCAGCAAGTGCCACGTCAGCAAATGCCATGTCAGCAAGTGCCACGTCAGCGAAGTGCCACGTCAGCAGTGCCACATCAGCAGGCGTCACGTCAGCAGCAGGGCCAAGG